TACATTGACAATTACAAACCTCGCTTTTGCAATTGATCACATGGTCGTAATTGATAGGTAGAACTACCTTCTACTACTACCCATTCTGTATTACCTTTGCCCTCAGCAAGCACCTCAGCTGGCTGTGGTTTTTTTTGCCTGGTGGGGTGACCCAGACCTTCAGTCCTAAGGGGTCTGGGTCAGTTGACAATTTCATTTCATTTGAATTCCAATAGTTACACGTGGGTAGCAGCCAGTGAACTGGACAGTCCTGAGGGGAAACAAAGCCAGAGAGGTTCCTAGCCCCTGCCAGATGTTTCAGCTCCCACGCCCACTGTGCACAGGTCATCTCTGGAGGGATGGGGTGCGAAGCTCTTGAATAGCGTGCCCCCGGAATGAGAAATGAGAGGATAGCTCACATTTCCTAACTAGAAGTAGGCTATGGTACTTTGGAAGAGTCAATTTTGCTCTCTCGTGTCTGGCTGAGGATTGTGCGGCAGACGCATAGGAAATAGAGGACATTATTCTTAAGAAGGGCAGCTCAAAAAGCATTTCTGAAATATTTATGTCTGCTTTTTAAAATAAATTCAGATCATTGAAATGCAGTCAGAGAACGAAGTCACAGTTCTCTGTGGTGTTTGCATGCGAAATGAGGTTTTCTGGAAGGCAGCGTCGAGTCTGTTTTAAAACAATGAAGCACATGCAGAGTAGCAGCGAGAGTGTAGAAATACCCAGGCCTGAGCTTTCACGGGGCTCAGCATACCCTCCCACCTCTCTCAACAGCAGGACAACCTAACGCTCTCCTCGTTGCCCACAAGTGAGGGCGCCTCTGCTTGTCCCTTTGGGGACCCAAGGAGCCGTACTAAATATTGGGGCCTCTACATCTTGAATGCTGCGTGGAAACATGGGAGACGTTTTAACATGTATGCTTTAGAAGAGGCCCCATTGCATCTTCTAGCAGCGGACTTTTGGGATCAGTCATCTGGCCTCTTGTACGCCATTCCCAGATACTATGCCTCCTAGTCCAAGGTCTGGACCTGTCGTAGGTAGGCGGGGCAGGGGGTATGCCCAGGTGTAAGTTTGGGCAATGCTCAGTTAAGCAGGGCATGTGGCTTAGTTTTCTCTCAGCTTGTTGTAGGGATTTCCAAAAGAGAGATGTGGTATGTATTCAGTGCTCCCCACGTTTATTTGGCTCACAACTTGTTTTTCGTAGAATCCCACTTGGAACGCACTTTGAAAAACACTCATTTAAAGGTGTGAAAACTGAAATCCAGAGAGGAAACTGTTAATATAAAAGAGCAAGCTAAGTCAGCGACAAGATCAAGCCACTCTCCGCACTCCTGGGCCAGAGACGGCCACTGTGCTCCTCGACTGACCCCCGAGAGGGGTTGTGTGGTTTTCACCTCCAGATTTTTGTATTTTTCTAATAACGTACTGATAATTTAGGTACTAAATAGTGTGCTCCTGCAAGGATTATTTGTTCCTTTCCTTACCTCTGCCCTGTGGAACAGGAAAAAAGGAAATCCTTCTTAGTACTTATTAGTACCTAAAGCCATGTCCTGATGGTGTAGTGGATATATGTTGGGCTGCTAATGTCAAGGTCAACAGTTCAAACCTGCTGGCCGCTCCATGGGAGAAACATGAGGCTCTTTGCTCCTGTGAAGATTTACAGCCTGCGAATCCCAAAAGGGCAGTTCTGCTCTCTTCCACAGGGGTGCTGTGCATCAGCATCCACTCAGTGGCCAGTGAGAGAGAAAGTCATGCCATGTATTCATTTGTACGCAATCCGTTTCTCCCACTGCAAGGGAACCCTTCAAGGGCAGGGCTTGTGTCTGTCTGTCCATCTACCATGCCCTCGCCCCCTTAGAATGTTGAATTACCTCACTTGTCCCAACCTGGTGACAGTGTGGTCCCATCACTGGGGTTCCTCAGCATCACAGGTGCGGGGATGATGAGGGCAGAGTGGTGCACGGAGCTGAGGGTGTCCCTGTGGGACTCCGAGTTGTAAGAAGCTTTGTTCCTTTTGATCCCAGAGGAGGTGGCTGGTTCTCCCCCCACCGAGTGCAGCCCTTTAACTCCCAGCCCCTCCTGTGTCTGGCCTCAGCAGTCGCCCTGTTCTCTGACCTCCTACCTCCATCGTTGTCTTGTTTATTGTTCAGAGAGGTTTTCCTTTCAACTCTGCCTTCTTGGGTCTAAATTTATACAAGGGTACTTCATACAGTTCATGGGAAAAAACAATGAGAGTTTTTCCATGAACTTTTTTAAGTCCCTTTGAATAAATGTGTGTTTGCTTATGTATGTGTACATAAATCGATGAATGTAACTCAAAAAATATTGGCACCAAATCATAGAAACTTTTACTACGCAAAAATATCCAAATGTCAAGCTATTGTTTGCTCAGCATCGAGGTCTGCACTCTTCAGTTTCCACGGTGTCCAAAGGGCAGTTTGGGCATCCTCAACAAATTTAACTCCTCTTCTTTTGAAGTGTTCTCTGGGTTTGGGAAACAACCACACAAGAAAGGGCTGCGGGGGGCGGGTAAGGTTTCCCAGTGAGGTTCTCCTGGGAAGGGCTGCGGGGACGGGTAAGGTTTCCCAGCGAGGTTCTCCTGGGACAGCCTTTGCGCCCCTGGAAGAAAGAGCGCTGCATTGTCATGACGGAGCTTCCCCGGCCGCCTTCCCACAGAGCAGTTTTCGGTCTCTTTAACGCTGCTTCATAATAAGGCCCCGCGAGGGCCGCGCAAAACGGAAAACGCCAAACCACGTGAAATCGCAACGTTAGTAGTTACTGCTTCAGCGTTAACTCTGCGATCTTCTTCCAGGTGCAGTTTCTGCACCTCAGCCAGAGCTGTTTCATGCGTCCAAACAGACCGTGGGACCTCTCTCGCCTCATCTTTGAGGTCCTCTAAGCTACCTTCCCGGGAGGACGCTGAGGCTTTCGACTCTCCCAGAGTCGTGCCGCAGACGCCCACCCCCAGGGGCAGTTCTTTCCGCCCACAGGGCTGCTCGCGCAGAATGGCCCCATGGCAGTGGGCTGGAACCTTCCCTAGACACTCGTTTCTCATGGGCAGCGTTTCCCGAATCGTGTTGCTAAGCTTCAGTGATTTGGTAAGATGCGTGTGAGTTTTGTGAAAATTTTGATATTGATAACCTAAAAATAGCCGTTTTTCCATGGTGCACATACACACACACACACACACACACCAATCTTTCTATCTTTGTAGACATCCTAGCAAAACTAAGTCAAGTGCATTACTGAGGGAACTTATCTGCTGCCATCTACTGGTAGCAGATGTGTGCATGAACTGCAGCACTAGTCGCAATACTTCTTTTACTGAAACTCAGATACGTGCGTGTGTTTATTTTCTGTATCGCAGCCCAAGGCAGAACCACTATGCCACCGGGGCTCCTCTGTGTATTTTTTCAAGCGCTCTTCCTCTGTTACCTTTTGTCATTTAGAAATAATAATAGTCCCTCGTGGAACTCTTGCCACACAGCCAACGCTCAATGGATGTTAGCCGGTGGAGATGGTGTAAACTTAGGAGTGTTGATCTGTAGATTCCTTTCTAGGGTTTTGAAATCACTGTCTGCCTCACTAGATCAACGTGGTGCCCAATGATGAGGCGACACGCTTTGTTTTTTAATTGATTATGTATTATATATAATTTATTATTTTCACATGTTGAAATCCATCCTCATAAATATTGAATTGGCATGGTGCCCCTAGAAGTAGGCATCCTGGGCAGGGGTGAGCTGAAACGGACTGGTATTGGCCACTCTGAGTCAGACGGTCATGGCTTACTACCGGGGTGGTGATTCCAAAGTAATGCAGGCAGAAAAAGCAGGGAATTGGCTGCCTTGTAGACTGGGAGCTCAGTGTAGTGACCGTCTTTACATCTCACATTTTGTTTTGGACATGTGAGTATGAACCGCTCACTTGCATTTGAACTGAAATCGCTAATACCGTTAGTTCTCATTACCAAGGTTCTCAAAGCACATTTGTCCATCAGTAGGTCAACTTGTACTGCTCGAGCAAGAGGCTACCCCGGGCCTATCTCCACTGCAGACTGGCCCTTAGTTGGAAAGTGATTTGTTGGTTGGGAGTTGGTTCAGGAGCTTGGAATCTTAATGCCCCGACACTGTTCGTTGCCCTATTGGGATCTTTCTTTCATTTTCTTGTCTCGTGTTCCAGGAATGGGCCTTAACAAAGGACAAGTCGGTGAAACACATGGATTTGTGCCTTACTGTGGTAGACCGCGCACCTGGCTCTCTCATCAAGCTCCAGGGCTGCCGAGAAAATGACAGCAGACAGGTGAGACTCTCAGAGCCTGCCTGCTTGCGCTCCCCGCCAGAGCTGCGTATGTCTGCGTGAGGGGCGTGCGAGCATCGGCCGAGTGTCTAGACCCTTTATGAGCTCCATGCTCGCCTGTGTCCTCCAGGGAGCCGCGCAGATCTGGGCTACAGGAACCATCGCTGGGCCATCAGTGTTGGGAGTGGGGGAGAGGGTGCACCCCGGGGAGACCTTTTCTTACCTCTGGCTCTGCCTGGACACCACCAACAGCTCTAGCTACACCTGTCCTTTGGATGGGTCAAAAGCTGTTCTTTAATTTCTTAAGCCAAAGGTCTAATAGCATTGCATATTCCCCGTTATATTCTCAGTATTCTTTCCAGGCCACTGTATGTTTTAAATCGAAATTGCATTTATTCTCTAAATATTTTTTTCTGATAAAATTTATTTAAAGGTTTTAAATGCTGAAGTATAAAAGTCATTATACACACACAGGCACCCCAAACCAAAACTACACCCACTGCCATCAAGTCGATTCTGAATCATAGCAACCCCACGTAGGGCTTCTTTACCAGACTATAAACCTTCACGGGAACAGATGGCTTCACCTGGCGAGCCGCTGGTGGGTTTTGAACTGCTAACGTAGTAGTCAGCAGGCCCTAGGCGAACCCACAGTGCCACGGCTCCTTCGCGCGCGTGCGCACGCACACACACGCACACGCACACACACATATATTGCACTTTATTTTTTCCCAAACTGTTTAGAATACACAAGGGCGCTCCAAGAAGTTTGTGGAAAACAAGATTGAAAGATAATGGACTTTTTCTATAAACCTTTTGAGAGTCTTTGCACAAGACTTCACACCTATTGCTAGGGCACTTTTCTCTGGCATGTTTTGTGGTTGTCACTGTCTTTGGAGCCCTGGGCTGAGGTGTTGGAAAGAGGCAGGAACAGCTATTCCAGCCGGTGGGTAGCTGGGCCGCCGTGCTGTGCCCTCACGGACAGGTGGAGCACAGAGCCTCTCAGAGCCAAGAGCCCCGGCAGACCCTCGCCCAGCACTCATTCCACAAAGTGGGATGCTGGAGTCCAGAGACCGAATCCTTCCTCCCCGAGGGCACATGGGGAAAAGCAGGCTAGGACTCTGGATCTCTTAACTGTCTCCCCAGCGCCCTCTCAGCCGCTCCTTTGTGAGTTGTGACCGGTTTAAACTTAACAAGGAAATGCTTGCAAACGTCGCTTTTTCATGTGTTCCTCTCCGGAACACCAGCCACATCCAGGGTGCTCCCTTTCTTGTTCGGCCTACATTGCAATGGGCCGAGTTCCTGCTCACTGCCGGCCACCCAAAAACGTGGGCCCTTCTGATGACGTAATTACAGGTCTTGCTTAATACCCACTGTCTGTTGGCATCAGAGGAGCCCCAGTGGCATAGTGGTTATGTGTTAGGCTGAAATCTGGAAGGTCAGCAGTTCAAAACCACTAACCACTCTGTGGGGAAAAGGCGCGGCTTTCTACTCCTGTAAAGAGTTACAGTCGCAAAGAGAAACTCGTGGGGACAGTTCTACCCTGTCCTTTAGTGTTGCTGTAAGTCGGCACTGACTCAATGGCCGCGAGTTTGGTTTGGCTTTATGGTTGGCTTCAAACTAGAGTTAGGCAAAGCCTAGTACTATGATCTGCTTTCTCAAAATTAAGTGAATTTCTCCTTAACCTAATGACTTAACTAAAGTTAAGTGAATTCTTCTTAACCTAAAAGTCTTTGATATGTAAAGAACCGGTGATGTTGTCTGGTCTCCAAACCATATTTTGTTGGTTTTCAAACAAATACACTTTTAATCTCCTAAGGAATGTTCCTTTGGGAGAGTTGGCTGTATTTCAAGAACAATGGGTGCTTCTGCCGGCCCCTTGTCTGGTGAATCATAACCGGCACCTCGTTAAAGGCATCATGGGACAGAAACAGACTTGCAAGCAAAATGTGTGTGCCTGGGGATTCTGACGTTCCTAGCCCAGAGAGATGGTGCCATTTGCGTCCCATGTCACTCTTAGAAAGCAGCCCTCTCCACAGCGCTTGTAGGTAGGTAGGTAGGCCAGTCAGTTTTGACTGGCTGCCTTCCAAGGATACAGCTAGGACTTGACTTGGTTACATTAGTGTAAGGCTGCTCATTAAGTGATGCTTTGACACATGATAGAGTCCCCACAGAGAATGGAGTCCGGTTCCTTTGTTCCATGATGTCTGCTGACGTGGTTCTGAATGCTTCCGAGGTGGCCTGGACCTTGGCAGCCACATAGACTCTCCATGGCAATGGGGGAAGACAGGAGGGGGAAAGATGGCCGGAGGGGAGCAGGTGCGGGACGCTCAGGAGCGCAATGAAGAATGCCTGGCACTCTGTAGCCCGCCTGCACCGGGGGCAATGGACATTCACTGTGGGCCAACTTTGGGGGCTCACTTGTGGCATAGAGAGAATGGGGTCTTTGTCACACACAGTGTCAGGTCTCCCACACATTTGGCTCCTCCTCCCCAGCCACTGGCCCCTTGAGAAGAGGCTCCTACAGCCACTCTGCCTGGCTATAGGCTGTGCCTCTGACTTGGTTTGTGTATGCGTGTGTGTGTGTGCGCGCGCGCACACCAGTAGAGAGGCACTGAGACATTGCATACAGAGATGGGCAAATATTGCCTGGTCTTAGGCAGGAAGAGCACACCACTGAGATTTGGGGCATTCACGCTGGCTGAAATGGGTCTCTCACACCAGTTGGGAAGACGGGATAGGACTCAAGCCTCCTCAGTGGCATGTCGCATGCACACACATTTCTTTCCCTCTCGTTCAGCCTGACGCTAGTCCTCTGCTTCCACTGAGCATGAGGCACTAAGAGGGGGCTCTCTGGTGTGGGGCGGAGCAAGCTCTTGGCCCCAGCTGAGTTCCTGGGGCAAGTCCCTGGAGGGGACCAGGTCTTCTTGTCAATGGATGCGAATTTCGTACAGCAGCAACTTTCCTGGTCTGATGGCTCAGCAGTTGCACAGAACTCTGGCTCCAGAATTGAGAGCTCCCAAAGACGAGGCTGCAGGCACCCAGAAAATCCAGTGCTGAGAGCGTGCACACCTTTCTGGCCTCTGTAGCCCTCGGGAGTATGGGCCTTGGTCGTCCTGACTAATGCTCTTGGTGGGAGGCCCGAACAAGTTTATTTGCTGTTTTTCATGCAGCCAGAAGACCGTGCCTAAGGTGTGTATAATGTTTCTCCCTCTTGTTTTGCAGAAATGGGAGCAGATCGAGGGCAACTCCAAGCTGCGGCATGTGGGCAGCAACCTGTGTCTGGACAGCCGCACGGCCAAGAACGGGGGCCTGAGCGTGGAGGTGTGCGGCCCTGCCCTGTCCCAGCAGTGGAAGTTCTCGCTCAACCTGCAGCAATAGCGGCCAAGCCGTGCACCCTGGCTCTGGCTCCGCTCGCTGAGTACTGGCGATCACATTCTCGATTATGATTCTTAAACTTTCCACGAAACTATATACCTCAGTATTCCATCCCGTCTGAAAGTTGGAAGAACTTCAGCAGGGTGTCGGGGCTGTGTGGACACAGAAAGGAAGCGGAAAGAAGGCAATGGCTCCTCCCTCCCGCGAGGCCTCTGCAGCCAGCGCTCCTGCCAAGCCAAGCCGGCCCCTCTCCTGCCAGCTTCCACTTGTGCTCGGGCCGACGCCCGCACACCACTCCCAGGACAATGATGGACACTAGGGAAGTGGCCTGCCCGCCACGTTGGAGGGCCGAAGGAGAAGAGGATGGAGATGCTGTGTCACAGCAGCGCGGAAGACTCGAAATCATGTGTGATCTCATCTAATCCTTTATGATTCCCACCAAACTGAATCCTATCATTTTGCAGATTGACGTTGTTTCTCGCTCCGCCCCATCCCCCCAGGGTCCCCCTACCACTCCTCCTCCAGCCCCAACTACCTTCCTAGCCCAGATGCCCCTCCATTAATGTACTTGCTATAATTGAATATGAACTTTTCTATGATGGGACACTAAATATCAATATATCTTAAGAAAGCATTGACGGTCAGTTCCCCATGGCTTCTGCAGGTTGCCATCATCATGTAAATTGTCCACCATGCAGCCCAGACCCTTGAAAAAGGAGTTGGGGGGACTGGAGCCCTTTGAGGGTCCCGCTTGCCTCCTTGGAGCCTTATCAGCAAGTAGGTGCTACTTTGGCCAGCTGGGTTGGGCGCCCCCATCCCCACAGCTGACACCTGTGGGGCGGGAGGCCTGGGAAGCAGCTGCCAGAGGCTCCAGCCGCCGGCCCCTCTGGTTGCAGGTGGAGCTACTGCTGTGTCTTAGGATTCCCTTTGCGTGCTTTTGGTGTCTGTAAACCTGTATGGGTCCCTCATTTTGACAAATGTTGCTTTGGTTCTTTTAAAGTTAGTTTTCTTTAAGGAAAAGCAACCAACCCCACAGCTTCCTCCCCTCGGCTCTCTGCCCTGCAGCGAGGCAGACAGCTGGCGTCGGGAAGCGGGTCACATGCGCGCACACTGGGCTAATGACAATTTGAGCTCGTTTGGGCTTTCAGAATTCATTGAGCTTCCAGCAGAAGGGGGGTGATTAGTCTCAGCCCGAAAACAAGCCTTATTTACAGCTTCTGTAATTGGCATCCTGGGGCATTTGCAACTCCAGCAAGATTACAGCTGCCCTTGGTTCCACCTGCCTGCCTGCCCCGCCCAACTGCAAGATGCGGCTCCATTTCCTGCTCCCACGCCCCATGGTCACCGCCTCTGAGTGTTCCCGATGACGAATCAGGAGGGAGCCAAACAGTAGCAGTACACCAGCTAACTCCCCTTGAGGACCTGGGGCACAGACTGGGAGCTTGGTTGAGGTCCCAGATTCCAGGAGAAAGCAGGAGACGGTTTGGGATTGAAGTAAGAATGTGCAAGACAGCCTAGTCACTTGTCTGCTGCTGCCTCCCCGTGACCACCAGCTGTCCCCAGAGCCTCGGCCTGTTTTACTCACCCTGTCCCCTTACCCACTCAGAGACCCCCACCCCAAGTTATTGGTGGGCCCGACAGCAAACCAGATGCTGGGCTCTCGGGTGCCTGAACAGATGCAGGCTTTTCTGCTCCTTGGGGGGCCAGCTGAGGTCACACAACTGGAGCGGCCTAGAAGATGCTTCCGAGTTGACCCTGGCTGGTGCCGCTTCCTCTCTTGCCCATTCCTCTAGAGAGGGAACGTTGTCGGTCTGCTTTCTTCCTCAGCGGAAGCCCACTCACATGCCCTTTGTGCTGGTGGGGCTCATGCCAGGAATATCCAAGGAGGTCCTTGTCCCGTCTTTCCCAGTCCGAGGTATTTTAAGTGAACAAGCTGGCTAATAAATCTGATTTAATATGGCCCACTTTTATCTTCATACAGGATCCTGGCTACAAATCAGTTCTCGGGGAATCTAAGGAAAATCACACTTAGGTACTGGTAAAGGCTGCTGACTCCACACTCGGGCTCTCCGTGTCCCTGTGCTCCGCTGTAAGGCACCGATCACCTGTGGGCTTCTGCTGTGCGGGAGAAAACCCATTGCTGTCAACTCAATTTGATCTGTTTTAAAATCGGGTTTCTTGATTGCATCACCCACACTCCACACCCCACCCAGAGTCTCATCAACTCTTGTACCTTAGCGACGTGGCTACCAGCTCCCATCGGCTGGCCGGGCCCTGGGAGGCAGCCTCAGCGTCGGGTGGGAGAGGTCCTTAGTGGGCTATGTTTACATGACACAGTGTGCCAAAGTGACTTACTGTGATTGCATTATTTTTTAGTCATTGGGACGATCCCACCCTCCTCCCCCCATTTTTAAAAAATGAACATTCTTTCCTAAGAGCCCTTGGAGCAAAGTGCGACACGCGGTTAGTTGTCTTCTCTGTGGTGGTCTCCGATGTCTTCATCAATGCTAAAATGATGGTATCTGTGTATGTTTTGCAAATTCAAAATATAGTTTGGTAATTTTTTTCCCAGTTGATTTTTAAAAAGAACTGCTGTACAGAGCTTGTACTTTATTCATTTTATAGATGGAAACCATCCTTGAAAATTGTTTAACTTAAATAAAGAGACAAAACTTTATAGATAAAAACTTCCAGTGGCAGCTGCACTTTTTCTTGGATTTTGGTTGGTTGTTTACTGGATGGATGTGACCCGTATATGAGGGTTGCAGTTGTATTGTCTTTTCTAAGCTTCTGCTTAATTGCCATTTTTTATCATCCTTTTCAAATGCGTCCACCTTTTATTGCTGGGCCCTTTTGTTATTTATAGTCATCTGGAATAATCGTTGGCATTTGGGGAGCAGGTAGGTACTGGTGCCAGAAGCACTTACCTACTTAACCTGCACACTACACCTGGAGTCAACCCTGGCCCTCATAGCCAGAGCCTGGGCACACGGTGCTTTACAGGTTTTGAAGTATTTAAGAATATATACTTGCTTATCCATTATCTGGAACTGGCCAATTCCTTCAGAAGATCTGTTGAGTTTTCCTCCCTGGCCTGTTTATATCTGTACCCACAGGAGTGCCAGGAACAACAAAGCTCATTGATTCTTTATCCAGCCGTCTGGATTAAGATGGGAGGGCAGGCATGAAGAACTGAAAAGGCCCAGGTGAGCCTTTTTAACCTCTGGCGACCACATGTATGCATCTTTCTGGATTAGTGGACACAGCCAGACTCCAGGCCCCACAGCTGACCAGCTGAGAAGCACAACACTTCGGCATTGTTCTGTAGCAGTGGTCAGCGTCCCTTTCATGGGCCATACACAATCACCAACCTAAAAGCCCACCTGCTGTATGTAGGACGCGTGTGATTCCTGTTTGAACAACAGCAAACGGCTTTGTCATTCCAAACACATTCACTGATGGCCGTCTACCTCCCTCCATGGCCGTCTACCTCCCTCCCTGCCTCCCGGAGCCCTCAGCGCCTGGAGTGGTTGGGAGAGACCCATGGATTTAGTTACGAGCTGAGGTCTGTCTGAACTTTGCACTGAGCACTTCTGCTTTTTGGTGACCTCCTTTTTATCCTCGAACTTACACAGTTCGGCTTCTCGTTGTTCATGCTGTTCCTGCAATTTACCAGTGAAATGCATGGAAAGGTTAAAAAATATACCCGAGACCACACGGAGTACAAATTTCAGCCAGCTGCCTGGCTATAGGTCTGGCTCAGAATCCATCACCGAACACTGTGCTGGGGCTGCCCTGCAGCCCCATCCTTTAAGAACTGCAGGGGCTTCCTAAAGTCAAAGCAAAGGAGCTCGTTCACTCGGGGTCTCAACGGCTGCTGTGTTGCCTGGGCACTCGTCGGAAATGCACATTGTCAGGCCCCACCCCCGACATAAAGCTTTTGGGAAGGGTCCAGAGCTTGGCCCTAGTGCGTGCTCATGTTGAGAAGCCTGGTTTGAGAGCCACTGGCTGCATATTAAAATCACCTCAGCAGCTTTGTAAACAGCCACGCCAAGACCCATTAGTCCAGAGGTGGGAACCTTTTTAGCTGCCAAGGACCATTTGGATATTTATAGCATCATTTGTAAGCCCTAAAAAATTATCCATTTAGAAAGTAGCCTGCTATATTTGGTCAAACATTTAATTACGTAGCTTGCCCTTAATGGGCTGGCTGGAACTTCATCTCTCGGGTGAGGCATGTGCTGGTTGCTGGTATTAATGACTCTGCAGGCCTTAGCCGTCCCCCACCCCGGCATTAGTCCCAGGCTGGGTGTGGATCTATGTAATTTCCCCCTCCCATTCTTGAAGTAATAGTCATGTGCAATAATGTTGAAGAGGGATGTGGGAGTCAGAGGAGGGGTTCTGAAGTTCAAGGATTGAGTTACTGTTAACTGCTGGCTATGTGCCTTAAATGATCCTAAGTTTTCTGTGTACATACTTGGTTCATCTCTGAAAAAGTAGTACAGTGAACCCTCGTTTATCACGGTTAATCGGTTCTAGACCCTACCGCGAAGTAGGATTCCTTATTTGTAAATCAAATATTTTCGTAGTTAGAGCATAGAGGACATGAAAAAACACCCTTTAGTCACCATTACACTCGTATTACCCAATTTATTAAACGAAAAAGGGAAAATACAGTAAAACATTTTGGACGTTACAATGATCATTTATTATTTATTATATTATTTATGGCATCTAGTTTACAGTATTACATATTTCACATACAGTATTATTATACATAGTTCTTACAAATACTGTAATCAATAGCCTATGAAATGACTTAAGGGATGTACTCTACAGGTGGGTCGCCGTCTTTTTCCTCTGAAGGAGCGGGTGTACAGTATGAGCCAATCAGTGGCAGTAATGACAGAGCATGCGCTGTTACGCAAAAACCGCGATAGAGTGAAGCCGCGGAAGTCGAAGCGCGAAGTGGCGAGGGTTCACTGTAGTGAGACTTGAAAGAGACCATTCACAAAGTAACCGGCAAGGGGCGCCATTCAGTAAACATCAGTGACCTCATTGCTAGTGGCAGCTGACAGACGCTGAAACCCCTGAAGGGATGCCGCAAGGGAGATAACTTCGTGGAGATCAGCTTAGGAGCTAACCCAGGTCCTGGTGAGATTGGCACATGACTTTGGGGATTTCCCGGGGCACCAACATTTATCTTCAACTTCTTAAAAAATGGCCGCACTTGTGTTAATGATCCCGTGCTCCACCTGCACGCTGCCCTGGAGCTCAGCGGTCTGAGAGGCAGGCCTCAACTGGGAGTCCCTGACCATGGCACCAGGGGAGGGACCACAAAGACAAACACACCATGTTGTAGCTGCCATGGACCAGCCCCTGAGATGGCAGCGTCGTGCGCAATGGAACAGAATACTGCCTGGGCCAGGGCCATCACCCCGACAGGTTCTGGAGCAGACACCGTGAGCCATAGGTTTTCATTGACTGGTTTTCATGGGAGGCAAATGACCAGGGCTTTCTTCCTAGTCCAGCGTACTCTAAACCAGCGGTTCCCAACCTGGGGGTCGAACGACCCTTTCACAGGAGTCACCTAAGACCCGATGGTCTTGGCCCTGAATCACTGCTCCTCTATCCCTCTCCAGGTGGGTCCACCCACATGCAGATCCTCCCACATACAGGGTGACCACAGCATGAGGAACTGTATTAGAGGGTCGTGGCATTAGGAAGATTGAGAACCACGGCTCTAAGCACTGATGCAATCTGTTCAGTATCATAGCAACATGCACGCCTCCACGGAGACAGGTGATTTGTATTGGGACTCAT